GCGCCGCGCAGCGCGGCCGAGGCGCGGGTTTCCGGGGAAGGGCCGAGCGCCGCCCCCCGAGGAGCCGCCCCGGCCGCGGAGCTCAGGGAACGCCGCCGAGCCCAGGCTGCCGCTCGCCGCCCCCCGCCCGGTGCCCTCAGCGGGTGCAGAGCCCCCGGACAGCCTTTGGCTCTGCTTCACTGAGCGGGGTCTGAATCGACATCCGTACAGCACGGCTTCGCCCTCCTCAGCGAGAGCGGCGCTAACGCCGCCGTGCAGCGCCTCCAATAACGGAGGAGGAGGAGGAGGAGGAGGAGGAGACCCTTGCATCGACCCCGACACCGCTTTCTCTTCATTGCAATCAACAGCTGGAGAAGGTGATCCAGTAGAATCCAGTGCATTTATTTCTTGCAATATCTGAACGGGTGTTTCAGCTTTGGATTTTAACACATACAAATTAATGTTTGCAAGTTTAATGACAATCGGTACTAGAAGCAAATCATTGTATAAAGCTCGTAGAAAAAAAAATGCCAAATGGGTCAGGTCTTCCTTTTCCTGGGGAAAAAAAAAAAAAACCAAAACAAAAACCCAAGCATTCCAAATGAAGGCCTCATGGAAGCAAGCATACCTCCTTCAGAAAAAGTTATGAACAAGTCAGAATCGACCATCAGCGTAGGCAGCTGAAATACAAGTATTCATTCTTTCTACAAGCAGCTAATTTAACTAGAGACAAAAAGTTTACATGGCCTAATTAGCTGGGGAGTTTGCCAGGAATACATTTTCATAGCTAAGAGCACATTCATAGTCTGATCTGCAAGAGCGCAGGGTTGCTACTCTACGTGTCAGGTTAAGTGAATCAGTCATCCATGACGTGAGGGCACCAGCTACGGCATAAACGTATGATACTACCACCCACTGCTTTGCAAACCTCGTGTAGCTATGAACCGTTCAAGTGCAAATCAAAATAAATCCAGAGCAGCGCATTAACACTAAAACAAGGGCTAGATTAAGATGAGCAAATGAAAGACTCCGGTTCAGGCTCTCCCCCATTATCTTTTGCAGTCCTAGCGTTCATGGGCACTTCACGTGAACGCCATTGCTGTCATCCACAGGGGAAGTAAACAAACAGCAGCGTGCCAAGTTAGACTTCTCACTACTTTAAAATAAGATAGACTCACCCTGGACATTAAAAATGGAGAATACAGTTCCTGTAGGTCTAGTTAGAATACCAAAACTTCTAAATACAATCATAATGGCAAGAAATACTGCTTATTTGACCGAGTCGTTAGCTACCTAAGTGTTCTGACTTGATGCATTGACCAAACCTCTCCAAAAATTCCTAGGAGTGCTGTGGTATTCACTTGCTTCAATTTGTATCCAGAACATACAGAGTTGACAACTTAAAGCTTTATTGTAGTTTGCAACAATATAAACAAGTGCTGAAGTTCAGTCAATGTCCATTTCGGGAAGCTTCTTCTCCGTGGCTGTCGGGGCAGCGGCAGCAGCGCTCTGCTCGGCAGCCTGGGACCCGCTGCTGGCTTCTCCCTGCCCTTCTACTGGTCCATTCGGTTCAGCTGGTTTCTGCTCCTCCTTCGGGAGTTCAACTTTGGGTTTTGGTTTTGTGACTATAGGATTGCAAATACTTGTCAATTCCTAGAAAACATAGGCATAAACCACTGTTAGAAATGTTTTTATCTACTAACAGTTGTACTTTAACCTGTTGCTCAAATTAACTTTTACCACCGCCAGATGGATATTCAAGTTGACGGCTGATGTCCCCCAATACGCGTTTCACAGATTAATACCCGATCACTGCCCTTCTATTATAGATTTCCCACCTCAGAGTTCTCCTCCGAGCACAAACAAGAAACAGAACAATTCACAGAAATTCAGTGAATTACTTCAAAAGACTTACTTTAGTTTTAGCTTGGATGTCTTTAGCTTTTATAACTGGGTCTAAAGTAAGACTTCTCTTGTTTTGAAGATTAAGTTTATTGTTCATCCACTCCATAGCTTCATTTGCACTCTTCTCCACTTTCGCTACATCTGCTTCATCTAGATGGTCATACTGTTCATCCTGAAACAGCCAAATTAGTAGTAGCTGTGCAAATATTTGTTTAACATCTAAATTGCATACTTATTTCTTCAAATTTTTAGCTTCAAAATACTAGAAAGACCATTTAGCCAGAAGGCTGTTCTAGTCAGCAGAGCAATTAAGCTGATCACCCACAGCTCTAACCAGAGAACTGAAGTTCTACTGCTGCTGGAATTTTCCCTCCATGAGGAAATCAACACTTGATTAAAAAAAAAAAAAAAAAAAAAAGACTGTCAGATTTTCAAGCCAACATCCACTTCTGAAAATACGGTAAATATCCAGAGCTCAGAAGCTAGCCGGAGGTTGCACCAGCTTTTTGTTCAAAGGAGCTTACTTGCAGATTCAGAAAAGGTTTGTACCGCGTCCTTGCATTTGCTGGAAATTAATTATGGAAATACCTTTGCTTTGAATGCATGAACAGTTTTCATGTACTGTTGAATTTGCTTCCCTAAGTCCTCAAATGCTTTTGGTCTTTCCTCCGACTCTTGAAATCTTGCCTGAATAGGTTGCCCCAGAGTCTGAAACAAAGCACAACAGATATTAAAAACCATGCAGCATCACAATATGATCCTGCAAGATTTCACAGGGCACATCAACATTTCTGAACTCCTATGGAACTTTTACTTTTCCCTCCACTTACAGGAAGGACTGAGTCTCCCTCAACCCTGTCTTGCTACAGGTCTACTGGAGATCTGCTCCCCATATACTTAGTAAGCAAGTTAAGTAGTTTGTTACCAGTGCTCATCTCTGCATCAGTAGACCTCAGACAGCTCCCTGCTGGAACAAAGTTCTCTAGATACAGTAAATTCCGATGGGAATGCAAGAACCACTTACCTTCAATTCTGCCAATTTATCAATGTAAATTTGTTTGGGTTGGTCTTCACCATCTTCATAAAGCCAGTTTTCTGTATCTTCCAGCTTCAGTGCGAAACTATTTCGATCCTGAAGCAATCCATACAAAACAGATGAGATAATTCTATTAGATGGTTACATTTTTAGAATGTAAATAACTGCCTGAAACTCTTTATTTTAGTGAAAAATAAGAAATAAAATATTCTTCAGTATGGCTTCGTGGTGGAGACCAGGCCTAAGGAAGAACTATCTATGACACCCATGGTTTAGATCAATACGGTCACATAAAAGTTTATTTTTTCCTTCCCCCCCCAACCCCCTCTTCATCATTACTATATGAGCAAGTCTGAGAACAGAGTGAAACTTATCTTTAGCAAGGTACCATGAATCTCACTTGACTTGTCCCAATTTTAGCTCTGATGTAGGCATCTAGGT